ACGAAGAAATAGTCGAGAGACAGGTATAAAATGGTGAAGAAATTCGATGATAACTTAAAGCGGTATAATGTGGAGAAGGATTACGAGTAGAACGCGTACCTTTACGAAGGGCAATAGGAAGGTCGAGACTACGTGGACGGAACCGGAGGAGGCGAGTATTTGGCACTGGGAGTGAGTCATGTGGCGTACTGTTGTGGGCGAGGTCTGCGACTATAAACCTGAAGGGGTGGTGGAGGAGGAGGGGCTAATGGTGGATGGTCCTCAACATAGGGATCAATGAGAACGAGGAATGGGAAGCGTAGCGAGATGGAGACTCAGCAGGTAGGGAAGGGTCCTTAAAGTAAAAGGAACAATCATTGAAGGTGACATCGGCGAGACACAAAATAGCGATTAAGAGAAGGAGAAAAACACTTGTATCCTTTTTGGGATCGAGTAAATCCTAAGAAAACACATTTGTGTGATCGAGGAGATAACTTATCATGACCAGGATCAAAATTGTGGACAAAACAGGTAGACCCAAAAACCTTCGAGAGGTAAAGGATGGAGAGTGTCATGAGGAAATAAAATAGAATGGGGAATTTTGTTATCTAAAACCGAAGAGGGCATACGATTAATAAGATAACGAGCGGTAAGAACAACATCACCCCAAAAATGTTGAGGAACCTCACCATGAATTAAAAGAGTACGGGTTGTTTCAATAAGGTGTCTATTCTTGCGCTCAGCCACCCCATTTTGTTGAGGGGTATAAGCACGGGAAGTTTGATGAAGAATGCCATGAGAAGCCATAAATTGTTTAAACGAGTTTGAAAGATATTCACGGCCATTATCACTTCGAAAAGTTTGAATAGAGACACCAAATTGATTTTTAATTTCATGATAAAAGTTTTGGAATATAGAAAACAACTCGAACGATTTTTCATTAAAAATAACCAAGTACAACGAGAGAAATCATCAATAAAAGTAACAAAATATTGAAAACCTAAATTAGACTTAACACGACTCGGGTCCCCAAATGTCGAGTGAACTAAGGCAAAGGGGGATGAAGCACGCTGGGAAACACTACGAGAAAAGGAAGTACGACTATGTTTGCCTAGCGACAGGACTCACACACCAAATTGGACAAGCTCGGGATAAGGCTGGGAACAAGTTGCTTGTAATTTGCGCAGACTGGGGTGACCAAGCTGAGCATGAAGGAGAGAAGGAGACTCCATAAGCGTGCCAACATGTGGAGAAGGTTGAAGATAATAAAGTCCATGTGACTCACATCCGGTGCCAATCACTCTTTGCGAGCTCCGGTCCTGTAGGGAAACGAAGTTTTGGTAAAAGAGATAACACAATCAAGAGATCGAGTTAGACGGCTAATGGATAATAAGTTAAAGGGGGACCGGGTACATACAAAACATTATCAATGGACAACGAGGGAAAAAGAGTAACCGTTCCAACACCATGAGCTAAAGTTGTAGACCCATTAGCCATTGTAACGAGAGGGTAAATTATGAGAAGAAGTGAAAGAGGAAAATAAGGATTTGTTACCGGTGATGTGATCGGTGGCGCTGAGTCAAGAACCCAAGGGCCAATAGAAGAAGAGTGAGTCGGACCAGCAAAAGATGTACCTGTGTGGGCAACGAAGTAGTGGAGCTGGAGGGCTTTCGATCCTCATACCATTGAAGAAAATCATTGAAGATAGCAGATTTGTGCGAAGGTACGAGACGAAGGAGGATCCACGACGGAGGATTGTGCGGAAGAATCGGTCCGAGCAAGCTGCAGCGAGATCGGCGAGGATAACCATGTAAAGCATAACATTTGTCAATTTTGTGGCCTAGTTTGCCACAATGGTCACACTTGACACGCCCTTTGCTTGGCTTGTGAGAGCGATTACGATCATCACGGTGAGAGGCCAAGGCGAGATGAATCATTAGAAACTACAAGGGGAATATTGAGAGGTTTACATGGCATCCGCAAAGGGAGGAAGCTGGTAGCGGTAAAGCTGGGTGTAACAGGGGAACCCAAAATCGGTCACGAACAGGGGCATATTTATCAGCAAGTCCGTGTAACATCAAAACCATGAAAAACTTTGATCGTTGCTCTAATTCTTGGGCGGGAGTCGAGGCGGGGGTAATAACTCATTAAATTCATGGAGAAGAGCATGGATCTTACCCACATAATCCGCCACAGGATCCTTATCTCGAGGAGCAATAACATCAAGAAGATTGTAACAAACACCATAAAGACGTTGAGTGTCATTGGTGTATAATAATTTGGCTTGTTCCCAAACGTCATAACATGTGCCATACGATCGAAAAATTTGTTTTAAAGAAGATTGGATGGTATTCTTGAGAACCATACATATATGAGCATCAACTTTCTTCCAACGGACACGATCATTGGAAGGAACATCATCTACCTTGGTAGTAAGATGATCAACATACCCACGACTCTCAAGCCAAAGTCTAATATCGGATGCCCAAGTTGCATAATTCGTACCATCTAATTTATCAATGGGTAAATTCACATTGACATAATTAGTAAAAACAGATTGCTCGGACCCACCGGAGTCGACGGAGGTAACTCGAATTGGAAGTGGCGGCGGAAGATGCCATGGAGGAAGAGAGAGAAAAACCCTAAAACACCAAAGAGGTCCGATTGGAGCGGCGAGGACAGATCCAGAGAGAGGAGAAGGAGGCGACGCCGGCGCAAAGATCGGTGGCCTGAACGGCGGCGAGACACGCCGCCACGCGCGGCGGAACGGGAGAAGGTGGCGCGGCTTCGGGAGGCGCGTGAGGGAGTGTGGCTGCTCCGATGACCGCGAAACTTCCACGGTGGAGGTCGCACGGAGGAGGCGAGCAAAACCCTGTGCTCGGCGGTCCGAACTGCTACTCTGGCGACGGCAGCGGCGGCGGCGGACGGCGGTGGCGACGGCGGCGGCGATGGAGGCGGCGACAGCTGCAGGTTCAGTGGCAGAGCCGAAAAAAAATCCCAAGAGACCTTAAGCTCTTGATACCATGTTAAGGTTCCAACATAAAACCAATTGGCAATATGTGGAGTAGCCTAACATGTATTTAAACCATACCAAATGATATGAGGTAGGCGATGTGGGACTTTCAACATAAAAAAAAAATGTGGAGTAGCCTAACATGTATTTAAACCATACCAAATGATATGAGGTAGGCGATGTAGGACTTTCAACACACCCCCTCCAACGAAGCCCGCCGGACCAGGCAAAGGGTACTTTTGACCCAACTAAAGGGCAACTTTTGGCCCATGACAATAACCGGAAAGATGTTAGGCTTTGGCTCTGATACCATGTTGAATATAGGGTTAATTTCCCTTATGTATTTACCACACATAGGGCAGTGTATTTATAATAAAGAAAGGTACTCCTCAAAAGAGTAACAGAATACAAATAGGGTAAATAAAAAGATATTATTTGATATTGTGATTAACAATATCTAACAATATCTCAACAATATCAAACAATATCAACTAATATCTAATCATATCTAACATATACAAAAGCATGAATAAGAAATAAAAATTGCAACAGTACGAAAAAAAAAGACTGCAACGGTGTAGTGAGAAGAAAGAGGAAAGTGTTGGGAGTGGTCAGTGTAGAAGGAGTGATGCATGGTGAGAAGAAAACGGAGAAAGAGCATTGCAGTGAGAAGGTGCTGCATAGTGAACCTCTGCATTAGAACAAGATACTCTTTCCTGTTTTGCTTCTCTAAATTACCAGCCTTTCTCCAAGAGACATACAGTACCCAAAGGTAGATTTTCTATTAGTTATAGAACCTACATAATCAACATCATTATATATCTTCAAGTTCAAAGTGTTTTCCTTCCTGAACAACAACCCCTTTCTTAGGTTTGATTTCAAGTACAAAAGAACTTTGTCAACTATTTGCATGTCGTTCTCTTGGATCGTGCATAAACTAGCTCACCACACTAACTACACAAGAAATTTTTTGTCTCATGTATAATAGATAAATCAAGTTTCCTACAAATCTCTAATATTGGGTCTTTTCTACATGAGAACTCTCTTCACATCCAATTCTATGATTTCGTTCAATAGGAACTCTTGAGATTCTACATCCCAACTTTCTTGTTTCTTTGAGGAAACTAAGAACATATTTTCTTTAGGAGGTGTAAATTCATTTCTTGAGATCAACAACCTCTATTCCAAGAAAGTATTTGAGTTTTCCCGAGTATTTCATTCAAATTTGGCTGTCAATTTTCCTTTAAAGCCAATTTATTGATTTCAACACTTTCTGCAACAATCATACCATCCACATAGACAAACAAGATAATGAGTTTACCTGTAAGGGAAGGCTTTATGATTAAAGTATGATCTCCTTGACTTTACCTATATCGTTTCGTATAGTAAATCTCCCAAACTATGCTCTTAGAGAGTGCTTAGGACAATATAAGGCCTTCTTTAGGTGATACAACTTGTTCCTTCCATTCTAAGCTTCAAATACTAGACAAATCTCCTTGTACACTTTCTCATCTAAAGCTCCTAAAGAAAGGCATTCTTCACATCCAACTAGTGTACATCAACTAAAATGAGCTGTGCAAGCAATAACAACTCAAATTGTATTCATCTTTGCCACTAGCCTCATACACAATTCCATAAGTAAGTGTAACCCTTTGCCACAAATCTAGTCTTATCCCATCTGCCTTATGTTTCACTGGCATAGTTTTTTTTTTTTTTTTCTTTTTTTCTAATGCATTCATCTTTTCTTTTATGGGTTGAGTCCAATGTTCACTCTTCATGCCTTCCTAGACTGAGTTGGGAATTTTTGTGGCGTCAATGGCAGCAATAAAGCTTTGATGTTGATTAAAGAGGTTGTTAGTACAAACATATTGAAAAATAAGAAATTTAAGACATAACTTGTATGGTGGACAAATCCTAATAAAGAAACCAACCATATATGAAAATCACAGGTGTGACAATGGCAACAATCAAGTGTAGGTGCTGATGATCTGGAGGAGCAACACTACTCTCATTTTGGTAACAGAGTGGAGCATCTCCCTGATCTGAAGAAAGCCCAGTCATTTTTGGGCTCTTTCTTTGGTTTTGTTGCTATTTTGGAGCAAATCGGACATTTTTTGGTGCTGCTAGGTGAAACAATGTGTGATTTCTGTGCTCTCTACATTTACCATAAAAATACTACAACAAAATATGTGTAACAAAGAAATTACATCATCTGGACTCGGACGACCAAATATATAATATTGCATGGTGCAGAATGGCAAAGACAAGTATATTCATAAAAAATTCTTCCCAACAACAATGTAGTCGAAAATTACGACAAAAGATATTCAGTATATATGTAACTACCTGGGGATCTTTATCAGTCCCGTCGTTTCCAGAATAATAACTGTATGATTGTGCAACTGATGCAGTAACCTTCAACCAAAAGAAAATAAGAAACTTCAGCATTGCTAACCATATGCCCTAAGCAAATTAATCTATGGCATCCCTTATCAGATAACATCTAATCTTGGAGCTTATTGAGAAGACTACAAGCAGAAAAACTAATAAATTCATATTGAAAACTTACCAGGGTTCTACTGTTAACATAGTGAGTCAGTTTTCCTTCATCTGCTGAATAAAGTAGCATAAGATTCCCTTGTCCAACTTTTATGCTTTTATCAGTGCTTCCTTCTGGTCTGTACATCTTTGAGATAGTTGAACTATGACCTATGTCATTCAAAGAGTCATAAAAGTTTAAGTTAATTAGTATTATCTTTGAGTCCTACTATACTGGTACAGACTAGAGACAAATAAACAAGTTAAGAACAAAGCTATATCATATATCACTAACATGACTGATCACAGCTTGTCACTTTATAGGTGCTGAAACCAAGGGGAAGAACAGACACTGGAAATGCAAGCCAATACTTGAGTACGTCACTCCCAGGAGCTTTTCCTTTATATGCTCTGACATAATGTCTTCTCATAGTCAAAGTAGCATTAGACAGGGGCAGAAGCTGAGACTCAATTTTATTCCCAGCCAAATCCCGAACAAAAACATGTGCAGTGGAAACCTGTGGCAAATATGTTCTGGAGTCAGTCACACAATGAATTAATTATGGTCTGAAGTGTTTGAATAGTTATAAAGACTTAGAATGACGATCATTAAAACTTGAATCAAAGAAATTTGTCGGAATACCATATCTGATGTGTACGCACATGCTGTTTCTTTCAGCATGCTTATTGGACCAAGGGTGCATTAGTGCATAAAATACAACTAAAGATAAGAGGGGAGGGAAAGAAAAATAAATGAAACCGAGGCATTTGAATGCTTATCGAACCCTCAAGTAGCTCATTCGAGGCAAACTTGAAGAAATTATCAAAATAAAAGTATGTTTTTCTTATCATCTTAAGCCTTCTAACACGCAATAAATCAACTCTATGGTCCTTCAAGAGGCACAAAAAATAACTCAAAAGAATACAATTTGCAAGAATCAGTGAATTAATATGTTTTTCAAGGCCAAAAGAAAATGACCCTATCAACAGGTAAATGGAACAGGGCAGCAACAGTTGATTTTGAAGTGATGGAATACATTTTGTACAGCGCATACCAAACTCCAACAAGAAATAAAATAAACAAATTACCAGTAAAAGAACTTACAGGAATTCGAATTACATCTTCCCTCTTCCAAGCAAGAGGATTATACACAACAATCACCTAAAAAAGGAATAAAGAATTGAGAGAAACATTTTACTAAGCAAAATTCATATCTAATAGTCATGCAACAAATCAATATTGTCCTTACCAAGCTCTTTCCATCAACCAATGTAGTTTCTGACGGAGGACAGTAACTTATATTAAGAAGAGGACACTGAAAATAGATTCACATAATTTAGTATAATATCAAATGTTCTTAAACTGAGAAGATTTAGGAAGCCTAAATTAAATATAAAGTGTCAGATTAATAATTGTCAATAGCATATATCAGAAATCAAATCCACTGAAAGTGACATAGACACTCAGCCAAAAGCAATTTCAATAGGATTAAGTAATTCTTTCCCGTTCATTTATATCATTTATTAAGGACAAAAAAATAAAAAAGAAATAGGAATCGTTATCAGCTAAGAAAGGTAATGCAGTGAAATGTGTAACACTATATGTACAAGTTTGTATTGACCATCTGAGTTTGTACAGGTATTAAGAGGAAAACAGGGAGAAAAGAGCTCTGGTACCAAATGAAGAGAAAAAGAGATCTGATACAAAATTAATAGAGAAACAGAGAGAAGGAGAAAAGAAAACTTTGCATTGGTTATCTAAGTTTGTACAAGTAAAGTTCTTCTGTTTACAGCAATTAACTGACTAATTGAAGTCAACATATAATGACAGTTATAACAAACTAACTAACAGAATACAACTGATTAAAGGAGTTATTCACTCACTAGGAAGTTTGAGGATGATTTCATGTTGCTGATATAAATTTAGCATGTGGCATAAAGTGAAAACATTCATGTTTGATTTACCAAGTAGTATGTAATTTATGATTGATTCTTCTATAAAAATAAAAATACTTATGTTATGACTGTAGTGCATTGCCTGCTGGAAGTCTGTCGCTAGGTTCACCCCATGCAAACTTAATCTTTGATTTACCAAGGAAGCAAGTGCAGATGCAACCGATCTTTCTGCCTGAAAATTAAAAAGTTATATGTATAAGTTTATGTTTATGATATCAATGCCAAAGCAGAAAATTATTAATATGCACCTCTTCATATCCCAATGAGAGTCGCAGTGCATAATCAGAAGCTACATGCTGCCTTTCTGTGCCACTAACTGCATCATGGTGCTGAGCAATTGCTAAAGCATCAGCTAATGCATCAGTATTCGGTCCGGTTTCATTCCTCCCTTTAAAATATTCCAATTGCCTTGCTGCCTAAATGTCAAGAAGAATAGCAATAAAGGTAACCCAAACAAGAAAAAATGAGCTGAGTTCACAAGCTTAACAAATACTTCACAAAGTAAAAGAGGGCAAGATTTTACCTGATAGTAAGCACTCATCACTCTCACATAGCCCTTCAAACCAGGCCTACTTGTGAAATATCCAGTCCAATATGCATTTGGGTGATCTGCGTACCTAAAATATTGTGTCTTGAATTCAATCTAAACTATGTGGGAAGCTTTAAAGTGAAGGAAGAGATGAGAAGGGAAGCAAATGAAGGTGTAATCTTCCTCTTTGTCAAGAACCAACTCTCATCGAAAGCTTATGTTATTATTAGAATTCTGCCACACATTAAATTATTAGACCACAAATTCCTGTAAATTGGCCCTCAGAATTAGCAACAGATTCCATTGCATGGAATGCTGTACAAATTCTAACTATATACATGTGGACTGACTATCTCACAATTTACCAAATTCTATGTGGTCTCAAATCTGAATTGGAAAGGAAGAAGGGACAGGTCAGCAAGATGCTGACCTCAGAAAATATAAGTATTGAGGAAGATCAGGAAAATAGCAATGGTAGCCTCTCTACCACCCAGAGTATCTAGGAAAAGACACTTGAGACATTTAGCAGCAAACTTGTCTTTTCCTGAAGTAAGGTCTTCGCCAGAACTTTGCAACCACAGAATAGGTGTGGAACCGAGTAGAGGGGGCTTTTTGGAAACAATATAGAGAGGTACCTGGTTTTGGAGGAGAAAAGAGGTTATGCAATTGATCTGATAACATGAGGTGAGTATGCCATTGCGACAAAAATGAAGTGGTACATTGTATCCCTTAGAATTAGCATTAGATTCCACTGTATTGAATGTTGCATGAATTATAAATATACTCATCTTTAAGCAATTAGAAGAAAGCTCATGATAGCTTTATTATATCTAGCACTTTTTTGCTGAAAGAAGGTTAATACCTTCCTCTTGTTTGGGAGTTAAAGTTAAAAGTATGAGAACTGAGAGTTATATCCCTTATTTAATTTAAATTAAGTAAATTACCTTTCCTTCCCTGCATTAAAAACTTCTAGAGAGAAGGTTGTCCTTTCCCTTCCTTTCTCACCTCTTACCTCCAATTTCAAAGATAAATATAGAACAGAAGTATGATAAACTCACGGGAAGAAATCATCAACTTTAAGAGGCCAATATTCATTAGCTGCATATTTTGCATCAGTGTAGATAGATGGTGCGGAGTATAATGCATTGACACGTCCATCCTGAGAGAACGTGACACATATGCAAGTACAAGTTTTAATTCCAAGGAGCTAAACCAGGAAGTCTCATCAAAGATATAAAACAATAACTTCAGAGAAACATTTTAGACACGATAGCAAGCTAGATTACCTGATTGACATAGTGAATAAACTTATCCATCTGCCTAAACCATGAATTAGCATATTGATACCGGAAGTCTGTCCCCATTGTCCACATAATGTGATTTGTTTTGGTCACATTAGCCTAGAAACAGGTAGAGAACTTAGTCTGTAATTCCATGATATACAAATACTGCATCTGAAACAACAAAAAACCAATTAAATATATGAATAAAATTAAATTATTTACTCTCATAATATACTGCATTGTCATGCTTTCCAAAGGCTGTGGTGTTATAGGTTCTTTGAAAATACATAGCAAAAATATATAAAACTTTAACTAAAGGCTACAAAATTTCTTTTGTGAGCATCTAATAAAGTACAATTAACAAGGGTATTATAAAATCAAAACGGGCAAATGTTTAAATAGGTAAAGGAAAACTGTTGCAATTAATAGAAGCATGAGTTTTTTTAGGTAATTCATATTCTTTATCAGCCATGCCTTCTTTAAGATGCTTCTTGGCGTCAAAAAGACCCTGAGACAATTTTCAAAGCACAAGAAGAAGTTCCTAATCTTTCCCACCAAAACATATATTTTTGGCCTCCAATGTGAAAAGTAACAAATCAAAATCCACTGCATTCTTAGTTTACTAAGTAGAATTTAACTTGCATTCTTAAACCTCCATTTAGCATTTGAGCTATCAATATAGAGATTTATATAACAAAGAGGTTCAATTGTCAGCCAGAACTCACCTGAGCTAAGGCAGCATACACAAAATCGTTGACCCTTTCTTGAACATTATAGTCAAATAGTAGCATGTCATCCTTCAATTTAATTTGACATGAATCTTAGCAGAGGAGAAAATAGAGTATTAAACATACTCATCAAGTAAATTTTAAATAAATATAAGAGGACTACCTGAATAGGAGGGGAAACATCATTTATCTCAAAAGTGAAACCATCAGGAGGATCATAATGCCTGGGAAATATCCCAGTAAATATCTGCATTGAAGTTATCCATAGGAATAATTCCTCTAAGAACTGCTAAGAAGGGAAAAATAATCCTACTTGTAAGTAGAAACCAAATTATAGGCAACTAACTTGTGAAGAAGAGCCAAGAGACTTGGAACCCTGCCAAATAACCTCAAGAGTCTTCTCTTTCAATCGCTTGGCTCTATCTTGGTAATCAATTCTAGCAAAAAAGAGTGAATCGAATCCTAGCTGCAGCAAAGACACAATCACGTAGGACTTCAAATTCATAATGACATACCACAACTTTAATATGATTATATGTGGATGACTCCATATATAATAGTAAAATCTTCAAGTGACTAGAAGTGAAATCAAGCATGTTATGTTGGTAATTAGTACACATAAGTTTCCACATGGTTCAGTTATAATGAACATACCTCAGCACCAAGCAAGTAAGCCTGAACTGCAGAATGGCCAAATGGGTCAATCTGCCAACCAACTCTTGGAACCTTACCAAATTCATCTTTGATAAATTGATGCCCGAGAGTGGTCTGATCAATTAGATCAATGTAATGTGGGGTGGCCTCATCATGCATACACATACCCCCATTTCTTGAAAAACAAAATCAGGAACCAAAACCAAAAATAGCACAAGAATAAGAAATTACTAATCAGATTCAAAAGTCACCAACTGAAAAATAATATATGCCAATTAAAATTACGCAAAAGCACCCTCCTAAATAGACATGAATTTGAAAGCAATAACAATTAACCAGCTTCAGGAAAAATAACATAAGATAGGTACATTACATGAATTCCAACTGACCCGCATTGACAAGCTCCTTGACTTTAATTTTCATTGCTTTACTTTGCTGTCTCCACCATCTTTGGAAAAAGGCCTCCCCAACAAAAAAAAATGAAAAATCAGAACTCAATTCAACCCACCTATCACTTACTTCTTGCCCTTTAAATTCCATCAATTAAAAGAAATTAAAACACCACAAAAAGCACAGAAAGGTACTACTATCTACTCTGGTTCATGACTTCAGAACTTACTCTCTCAATCAGACATTTTTAGTATCTTCTAACTTCTTTCCTTTGATGATGTATTTCACACATGACACGTGCAACTAACCAAAGTCATATTTTGTCTTTACATGAATAATTGATTTTTTAATCACTTATTTATATTAAATTAAATTTAGTACTTTTTTAAAAAAAAATCAATAGTTAAAAATATCTTTATATCATGATGCAAATTGTTCATAATATACACAAAATATAGTTTTATATTCAAAGACATTAACTTTTTTTATGCATCATGAAAGAAAGAACTAAATAAACACAACGTAGGAAAAAGATGCTCATGGCATCAGCTAATAACCTATCCTGTATTCTAAAGGAGGAGAACTAACTCTAAAGTACCCTGCTTAGCTAAAGAATCAACCATCCCATTCCTCTCACTGAGAACATGAGAAAATGATAGATTCCAGTCATATATCATGAAGCTTCTTATTTTGGCAACCAAAGAAGCATGTGGATGCGAATTATAAACTCCGTGAGCACAAGCTGTATAGCCTATTTAGAATCGGATTCACATATCAATTGTCGCAACTGTTTAGACAGGAATTTTGAAGGTATGTTCAGAACTTCTAGGAGAGGTAAAAAAAGTCTTATAAGCTAATTTGTAGAAGCTCTCTCCTATAACTTCCATAAAAAAAAAAAAATTAAATAAATAAAAAATTAACCTATGCATAAGCTAGTTTTTTATTAAGCTTTTTTTTTTTTTCTTTCTGTTTTACAAGTCCTTAAGGAGAAATATGACAAACATGATAGTGTTTGAACCAGCCCCTCCATAAGGGTTTCTAAAAAAAGGAAAACAAATTAAGGCTAACTTTTGCTTATACATAAATTAATTTATAGAAGCCCTCACTTATAACTCTCTGAATATTTATTTTAAGTTGTACATGCATAAACTAATGGATTAACTTATTTCAATCTTTTTATTCTTATTTTAGGAAAATGTTTATCACAAAACAGTTCTGCCTTACTACGCAACTGAAATATCATATATGATCAATTACCATTTCAACATATATGAACTTGCGATTCTTGTCCTCCAAGAGAGAGGATATCACAGAATCCAGCACATTCTGCACACATGCACCCTGCAACCACAAATCACCTCAAAATATTGTTCATAATACAATTTCTAACTTTGCAGCCAAAAATAATAATAATAACTTATAAAAGATACAAGACAGACCCGAATGGAGTTGTTGGCTCCAACGAAGTACTGGTCGACGGTCTTGAGCCAGCCAACATCGTCGTGGGAGTGAGGTACCATGTGCACGTTTATTTTGTCTGGGACTATCCTCTGCGTCGTATTGTACTCTATGTACTCTGATTCCCCAACCCAAATCGCCGCCACCAAAACGGCGAATACCATTGCCGCATCGAGCATCGTTGCTCCTTGGCGTTGCACCACCCGCCGATTTTGCACTGATTTTGGCTATTCACTGTGAGTTTCGTTTCATTACTGCTGAATTAATTAACAAATGGACCTGAGTGAATAATTAACATTTTTTTTCAAAGAAAATGTTCGGTGATTTAGATGCATACAAAAACGCTGTCTCAATCCTTTGATATAAATATGTTTAGATAAGTTTTTTGAAAAAATAAAAATAGAAAACTTATTAGTTACGGTTAAGTTAATTTATAATTTTTAAAATTTTTATTTGTAACTTATATTCATACAAAAGTTCCTTTTTTATACTTTTTCTTAAAAAAAAATTGAAAATCGTTCAATCATATTTTTAGTGATACTTAAATCTTATTACTGTTTAACCAATAAATAGCAAGTGTTTTTTTTTTAGACTATTTGTATCTTTCCATTCAAGACAATTGCATCTAAATTGATACTTGATAGCATATTTAAAACTTAAATTCGAAATTACAAAAAAAAAAATATCAATCTTGATATCATTCATTGATACACTAACTAATTAGAAATAAAAGGGTTTAACCTCACTCCCCTTAGTTGAGAAATTTGATAGAATTTACTGAAAATATATTTTGGCTTAATTCATAATATTTGATATTGATTGAGTATTAGAGATCATCACATCTTTCTTGTATACAATTTCGTATAATTGTTTTTTATTAACAAGATATAGTCATGCCTAAAGCGAAAAGAAATAAAAAAAAATGATTGAGAAAGAAAAGATCAATCTTCTTTGTATTATTCCCAAAGATATGTTTATATACATAAAAAAAGAACAATGAAAAAAGAATACAACATAAGTAATAATAAAAATAGAAAAATAATTGTTTTTAATAGAAACACTTATGAAATTGTATATAATAAATATGTGATCCCAACATGATATGATCTTTAGTACCTCTCTCAAGATGGAGTATGGATGTTTAGCAAACCTATTTTGAATAAATTGACTTGAAAAAAAGTTGGATATAGAGACTTGGTAAGCATGCCAGAAAATAAATCAACCTTGAAGAACTTTTGCCCGAATGAAGAAACAATTTACTTTTATATTCTTACTCCGTTCATGAAAAGAAGAAATTTTAGCAAGTTGGATTGTAGATTATCATAAAACACAAGAAATGACATTGGTATAGTTAAGGTCAAATCATCAATTATTTACTTCAACCATTGAATCTCACATGCTAAGGAAACTAGAGTTCGGTAATCAACTTCTCTGGAGCTTCTGGAAACAGTATTTTGCTTCTTAGACTTCCAAGATATAAGACAATTGTCATAAAAAACACAATAGTCTATGACATATTTTCAAGTAGCGTTGCATGTGGCCCAGTTTGAATTTGAAAAAGCCTGAAGCCAATTATGATTGATAATTGGATTAAAAAAATCCATGTTCAAGAGCATTTTTTATATACTTTAAAATATGAAGGACAACTTGCAAATGAGGTTGCCTTGGCTTAGACATATACTAGTTGACTTGTTGACCTACAAAAGATATATTTAGATAAGTATTGGTCAAATATATCAGCTTCCCAATCAATCACTGAAAGCTTGTAGGATTGTCCAAGATAACACCATTATTAGCATTTAATTTGGCAGTAGGGGTGGAAAGGAGTATCAATTGGTTTACAAGCAGACAGACCAAGTTCTGAGAGAATTTCAAGACAGTGTTTTCGTTGGTTCAACACAAGACCACGCTGAGAACAAGCAACCTCGAATCCTAAGAAGTACTTGAGTTCACCAAGATCTTTAATACGAAATTGATTAGGAAGGTATTGCTTACTTAAGTAATGATTGTCAAATCATTGCCTATTAAGACTATGTCATCTACATAAACCAAAAGAGTTGTAAAGGATCGATTTTGATGATGAGTAAACAGAAAGTGATCAATTGTGCTTTGGATAAAACCAAAAACAATCAAAGCATTAGTAAGCTTGACATTCCATTGTTTGCTGGCTTGACGTAATCATACAATGATTTTGTAATCTACAAACCATATTGGAAGAAGAAGCGTGAAAGCTAGGAGGAAGATGCTTGTAAATTTCTTCGTGAAGATCACCATGCAAAAAAGCATTATCTACACCTAGTTGGTGTAGAAACCATCCAGAAGAAACAACTATGCATAGAAGAAACCAAACCATGGTCAAGTTCACAACAGGTGAAAATGTCTCAAAAAAATCTACCCCTTTATTTGTGTGAAACCTTGTGCTACCAATCTTACTTTATGCCTTTCAATTAAACCATCAGCACGTTATTTGGTTCTGTAAATCCATTTACAACCCACAATCTTCTTATCTAGAGGAAGATTAACCATGGACCATGTATGATTCTTTTGAAGAGCTTGTAACTCGACCATCATAGCTTTCCTCCAGCATTCAAGTTATAAGTAGTAGGATTAGTTGTACCAGAAATTGAAAGACAAAAAGTAATGTGAGTGTTGGAGCATTGAGTAGGACAAATAAAAGGTCATAGGATATAAAACAGTGGGATCAGAATTAGATGAGGAAGCATGATGACAATGATAATCAGTTAAATAAGATGGTGGCTTTCGTACTTGCATAGAAAGTCTTGCACTAAAATCTATGATTTGAATTTGATCAGGCAGCAAACAATCATTGTTTTCTATAAAAGGAATAGAGTCGTGTGATTGTGCAGAAGGAATAGATGAATGAAAAAAAAGTGTATCATAATGTATAAAATCTTCAAAGAATTTTTTATTTGGAATGACATTGATGTTATCATAATGTGAGAGAGAAGAATGATTATTGGCATAAGGGAAATGTGTCACAAAAATTACATTGCATGAAACAAAACAAGACTTGTGAATGATATTATACAAAACAAAACCTTTAGTTCCAATTTTAAACCTTTAGTTCCACTCATCAAGTTTAATTCGTGCAGTAGTGATAGTTGAAGCATAGGCTAAGCAACCAAATACGCGTAACATCTTTAAATCAAGAGGATGTCCATAAAGGAATTCATAAGGGGATTTATTTTTCAAGAAAGGAGTTCATAAGGGGATTTATTTTTCAAGAAAGGAGTTGGAAGCTTGTTAATAAGATGAGTGGCGTATTTGACAGCAAAAGTTCAAAAGCAAGATGGTAAATGGGCTTGGAAAAGCAAAGCATAACTAACATTAAGTAAATGTTGATGCTTTCGCTTGACAATGCCATCTTGTTGAGGAGTTTCAACACAAGAGACCTCATGAAAAATGTTTTTATTAGAAAGGAAATCATGGAGAAAAAAATTCTTTTTCATTATCAGATCTTAGTTTTTTTAGTTTAACAGAAAATTGGTTTTCAACCAGTGTTACAAAAGATGGAAGAATAGTCTTGACCATAGATTTGTTTTGTAAAAAATGAACCCAAGTAAACTGTGTGTAGTCATTAACAATTGTAAGAAAGTATTTAAAATCATCAATAGAGGTATGGGCTATAAGACCCCATATATCTACATGAATTAACTCAAAAAAACTTGAAGTACGTCTTTGACTATTTGGAAAATGAAGTCTCCTTTGTTTCAAGGAAGTAAAGTATTGAAAGTGATATTATTGTATTTTGAAGACAAAAGTTGTAACACTTTTTTGAGACGTGTGGCCTAGCAAAAAATGCCACAATTGAGAATTATTAATATTCATTATAGATGAAAATTGAGAATTATCAATATTCATTACAGATGAAAAATGTAGTTGAAAAGCATTGTTGGAAACATGTGCAGATAAATTCAAACCACAAGATTCTTGCAAGTAAAATAAGCCACTCATTTGTTAGCTACACCAATCATCCAAAGATTGGATATCTGCATGATGAAACAATGATTTTCACAAAAGAATATCATGCATTGAAGAGTTGAAATGATTTTAGCAATAGAAATTAAGTGAGCATCAAAATATGGTACATAAAGAGTATTATGAAGGGTTAGGAGACCAAGATGAATGGTTCCAAAAACGGTGTCAAAAACAGTAGTGTGATTTGGTAATTTTATTGAAACAGGTTTGTAAGGATGTAAAGATTCAAATAAAGATTTGGTAGGATATATATGGTTTGTTGCTCCACTATCTAAAATCCAATTGAAAGAATATAAAGTGTCACCTGAATTGTTGGCAGAAGTATGGTTAATGGAAGAAGAAGGTTCCTTGCGTTGCTAAAGAAGAGATAGGAGGGCCTGATACTGCTCTTTGGAGAAATGATATTGATCTTGGTTAGAACTTTTTGACAAAGAAGAAGATTATGAAGATGTATCATGATATACATTAGCAAACTAATCGAGGAAGTAGTGTTAGAAGTATCAGGATCTTCTATAACTAAGAGGAAAACCAATACGCCAATAACAAGTATCAATAGTGTGATTGATTTTCTTACAATTTTCATAATACTTATTATTATGGCGCGAAGCATTTTTTATTGAAGCATTCTTAGTGGAAATAGATGATCCTTTTGTTGAGGCAGTAAAGGCAATGGAATCTTAAGATGAAGTATTCAAAGAAATGCCAAAAAATTCTCGTTCGTGTTGTAAAGTCAGAGAAAAACTCTTGACAAGGGAAGGCATAGGATTCATGAGCATTATTTAGGAACGAACATGAGAATAAGTATTAGTGAGACCGCGAAGAAATTGTATAACATAATCATCTTCACGTTCCTTCTGAAGCTTGAGAAGGAGACCACAAGAACCCGCAAGTGAACAGTGGCAAGCAAGAACACAATGATACGTTTCTAGTTCTTTTCACATAACTTTCAACCAAGTATAATACTCTGAAACAGAGGAATCACCTTGCCTAAAACTGTGTATTTGATCTTGTAAATTAGTTATACGAAATTTATTTGCATGACAAAAACGATCTTTGAGATCTTTCCATATTTCAGCCGATGTTTCCATCCACATAATTGAATGCTTGATAGTCGGAGTCATGGATCTTGTAAGCCATGAGATTACCATGCAATTACAACGACATCATGGATCATGTAGAG